TATAGACTTGTTTTTTTTCCTCGTGTGGTGTCCATTCGAAGGAGTCAGACGCACCTGGGACTATCCCAGGTTGTACAAAAGTGCAAAATGCCCCCTTTTCGCCGAACTGCCCCTGTTTCATCGCTAGAGGCATACTTAGTCTCGAAAGAAATTTCACGGATTGTTGATATTTCCCATGTAATGTGCGGCATCCCTCCCCCCCCCCCCTCCCTTCGTACCCTCAACGGGAAAACCGAGCATCGGGCGAAATAACTTCTGCTCGAGGTAAAATTTTGCGAAATTTTCGAGGAAGTTTGGTAGTTCGGTAAGGCGTGAGGTGGATTGTGAGAGGGGTCGTCCCGAGGGGAGCAGAAATGAGGATTGTGCCTTGGTCCTCATAGTTGAGAGATACGGAAATGCAAGGAAAAGAAGGAAAGAGAAAATTTATCTTCTACATTTTCAGCGAGATCATTCAGGTTTGAAACCAGTATGGAAACAGATATGACTAAGCATAGGAGTATAAATATAGAGATCTTCCATAAGTTGTAGTTTCCATTTCCAACGAAAGAACAGATTCAACAGAGAACTGATCGAACTATTATATTAATTGGGAAGGGAACGAGCCTAGCCGTGTCTTTTTGACCGACTCTTATTCCCTTGAGAATCACCGGCAATCAAGGAATCATAGCAATGTCGAAGCTACAGGATTGCTTCGATATCTACAGAAATGGTAACAGATTTAGTATTAGGGGTGGTACACGCGATAACACCAGCGTTAACAGCAGAAAATAACATCAGGGTTAATTAGGAGCTTGTTGTTGTCCAGCTCAGAATAGTCGAGATCGTCGAGTGGCCCGTTCGTTGAGGATCTGAGCGATTTCGGCGATACGCTCCCTCAACTCCTCTTCGTCTCGCTCATCGTTCATAGCCTCGATTAAAGCCTCGTCAGGCACTCCGATGTACTGCAAAGACATCGAAATTAAGCATCAGATCTCAGTGAATTCTCGAGGGACTCACCTCTGGCTCTTGCATCGCTTGTTCTGCCCAGTCGATTGGTACCACTGCCCTTCGATCCCTTGGGAATGGCTCTATCACCTGATCTTCCAGCAGTTCATCGGGGACCTCGACGACTTCATACTGTGGCATCATGACGACTTGTTCAGGCTGTTCATATCGTATCATCTCCTCTCGAACGATATCCGCCAATGCTGCCAATTCGTCGTCGGACAATTCTGGAAATGAATTGAATAAGGCATTCAAAAAGGACACAGCGCGGCTAGGAATTCCTTAGAGAGGAAGGGAGTGTTCGAGCTGCCCTTGGAAGTGCCGTAATTGGCTTGCCATTCCCAAAATGGATGGTATACCCTCCATTTTGGGAATGGCAGGAGCCTGACGATAGGAAAAAGATAGGAGAAATAGGAGAATGTCACCGGTTTTGGAGAGGTACACACTCTCTGGCGGATTGTAATTGCATGAGGGCCAATTGCTTCCCGGTGGTGATTTCCTGGACAGGGTCTCCTTCAGGCCAAGCAGGCCTTTCATCTCTTTGGGGGCTGTTTGCCACCTAAAGCATTACCCCTGAAAGCTTCAGGTGCCCTTCACCACCAAACTCCAGAGGTCCGCGAGCTTTGCAGAGCAACTGGGGGTACTACGGTGAGAGAAGTTGGAACATTGGAGTTTTAGGGTCGTGGAGGACCTACCTGAGGTGGTCCTGGGAAGAAAATGGAAGAGAAGAGCATACTGACAGCATTTAATAATCATGAAAGCTCTGCGTCTAGGGCCTTTTTAAGGCCATGACCATGGGAGTTTTCCCGTGAAGTTCTAGCCAAGCGTATTGACTGGGCGTTAGCAGCGGCACGCAAAAGTCTCATTGAAAATAGCCGTCCTCACAAAGTGTTCCACATCACACCACATAATTAGTTCCACCCAGAGAAGCTTTTCATGTTTGAGGTTAGACGCTACTACGAAATGAAATTGCGCTAATCGAATGCATGAGAACCACTACGGTGGTGAAATTTGAAACCACAAAATCCTCTTTGATGCCATTCTCACTTTCATCCTCGCTTATCCCATCAGAAAAAATTTTTTTATGTGAAATATGAGAACGATAAATGAGAAGCTTTTTAGTTCAAAAGGATTGCATGCGGGTGGATTGTGAAAATGACCTTTCCATAAATCTGTACGATCTCAAGGGCCAAGAAAGTAACCCATTTGAAGCAAAGGCCGGTGGTGGACATTTTTGGCCTGACCAAGTTGTCCAGCCCGGAGAACGGTCAGGAATATTGATTGCAGGTCTCAATTATATAAGTGTCTACTTGTGGGCAATGTGGATAATGGGTTGAATAGAAATAATTGAATAATAGAGAAACGTAAAGCGCGGATCTGTTAGCATCTATCAAAGGCTAAAATGGGAGGGGGTCAAGTTGGACTCTTTGATCTTCTGTTATGCCTATGCAACTGGAGAGGGAGGAGATGGGGACGGTAAGGGTTGAGCCTCCATAGTTCAAGGTTGTCGCCCATAACCACATGCCTAGGACTATTGGTACAGGCCACGTGATATAAATAACTAGGAATGAGACCCCTTGCCTCTTCAGTTGTAGGACAGCCTGCCCTCTGAAACTGAAAAGCATAGGCAGAATAATAGCAAATCGCGCTAATAAACCCCATAATCACCCCGCCTGAGCCCGAAAGTGGGTGGACTTCTTCTCGTCACGTCGTGACAATGACGAGTATCGTTTATCCGATAGCAAGGTGCCTAAGCGATTAGCACTAGACATTTGAAGCGACAGATTGCGCTCTTCTGTTTTAAATAGATGGTCGTGAATCAGCCTAAGCTGCTGCATATGCAGGGAGTCATTATTCGAAAACTAAATGATGGCAAAACTCTGCCACTGCTAAAACGAATGAGGAGATAAGTCTAGCTGCGGGCCGCTCGCGCTAGCGGAAGCGGGTCAATTATCTAATTGGAGAACTTAGTCCCTGGCATCATAGTTCCTCCGTGAATATCTATCAGAATATGTTACGTAGTGGACACCTGCCGTCAGCTATAAATAACGATGTAATTAACTTGTGGTATAACCGACTACGGAATATAGCGCGCCTGCAAGGAAAAAAATCAGGAAACCCAAGAGGGTTTTGCTGCAGTTGGGCTTCGTGGTGCAATTGCTGAATTTCCGTCGATTATCGCCGATGACCCCCGTGAAAACCTGTAAACTCTTGTATAGCAGTGGAAGAGCACGAGCTTCATTTCTTCTTGACAGAAGTCCACAGGTCTTACTTGGTGGCGTGGTTTCGAGAGGAACTAGTAAAAAAAGGGTGACGAGAGTTCAGAGGTGCATCCTCTCCCCTCCAAGCCTATCTCCACGCCGAACTGCGCAGGTTTTCAGCAGGCCAGATATGACTATTCTTCCTTCAGCTACCAAATAGGACATCTCTCGGCATACGTTAGGCTTTGGCGAGCAAACAATCCATCCTTCCAAACTACTCAAGCTGCGTTCATACTTTGCGGCAGCGTACGCTAGCGTTTCCAGCGTTCGGCAGCGGCAGTGACAAGGAAAGGATAGATATCGATCTAGCGTTTGCCAGCGTCACCAGCGTGCGCTAGTGTTACGCTAGCCCACGCTGTTGACGCTTTCCTTGGCACTGCCGCTGCTGAACGGTGGAAACGCTCGCGTACGCTGCCGCAAAATATGAAGGCAGCCTTACCGGTAGTTGGGTTGAGCCCGAGGAATCAGCACCCAATGCTCTCCGCCCGTTCCTGGTCTCGATATATTTCGAGGTGAACCTTAGGGAATTTTCTAGGGTATGACTGATCCTGTTATACCCTAGATAAATCCCTGGTCCTGTTATAAACCGTGAAGCGTTTTGTATGCAGTTATGATTGATTTGGAATCTGTTGCTGATACAATCCCACAAATGATATTCCGGTTTGCTTCTGGAGTCCAGTCTCCATGCCTCCTCCTCTTTCAGGCCTAACCTCACATATTTCACTGTTTCGGGCCCTGCAACTCGTTCTGCTTCATACAAAGAGCGTTTTGCCCTTTTTTATCCCTTGAAAATGTCCTCATCAAACAAGGACTGCTGGCTTTTATATGGCAGCATAATTAGACTTTACCGAAGAAATGTGCGTTTTCATCAAAGTCCCTCTCCGGTCTCAATGGGAATAATGAGGTTACGGTAGAGACAATCGGTGAGGGCGAAAACATACGTTGTAACTGTTGTCGAATTGCGTCTTCTTCAGTAAATTCGTTATCATCGTCATTTGGGCTGATCACGTCCTCGAAAAGCACTTGCCGTTTTCCTCTCCGTAGCTTTTTCTTATTGTCCGCCACAGATTTCGCTGAAAACCTTCAGATTCAGTGGAGACAGAAAAGGTTATTTGTTGGCTTTACCTTGCTCCTTGAGACTCGAGGATTTTGATGAAACGGCTTTTCCTTCCTAAAATAGGGGAGATTAACCCGAAAAACTCAAAGTTTATATTAATGGTAAAATTGAAAATGACGTCAGTAAATCGTTCAAATACGTCATGCATCTGACCTTCCCTTAATATCCTGAACGCATCCGTAGGGATATTTAGCTCAGGCAACATTTTCTCAGGAGTCAATTGTTACGTACAATGTGGATCATGTTATGATATGCTGAATTTTAATGGCATTTCAGCAGTTATTCATTGGAGATAGGATGAAAAATTTACCCCCGTTGAAGGGGATGGAGCGGGTCCAAGGAGATAGGTTGATTTCCGTTTCACACGTGCCCTTGGACGGAAACTAATAGAATAGTTTCCTTCCATAGGTGCCCTTAGGCGGAAAGTAAACCACAGCTGTATCCTTCCCTTGTGCTCATCAGGGAGGGACAGACTGGTACGAGTCAATATTCTTGCCTTTTAAGAGATCCCTGTCTGGGTACCTGGTACCTACTTCAGGAGTCTGAAGGGAGCGA